ATAAGTAACATTTGGAATTTATGCAATTAAAAAAAAAAAATTGTAATAATAGATTTTATGCAATACAATCAGCACTGCCAGTCATGGATACTGGGCATGGATATAGTGTCTTCCATAGAGCCAGCTCTCTTTCAGTCAGGGCTCAATGATAGTACATTACATCGTTTATCAGTGGAAATAATAAAAAAGCTCCTTACAATATGCCAAATCTCCCTACAAGAGCTTTGTGCATTCTTGACGAGTCATTTCCGTCACCTGTCAGCCAAAATGCTCATGACAAGAAGTTTGTGTCACCACAGCCTACAGCCAGATTTCCCCATGACAGCATGTTCATGTCACCCACCCCTATGCCAATTTTTTCATGATGTGATGGTCACATCATCCAGATTGTAGGTCTTAATACACTGCATAAACACAAATGGAAATTGGTGCAGATATTTCAAATGAAAGGATCTGAACAAGTCTAATGCCCATTTTCTATTATACTATCTCACATGTTATCAACATCAGCCATATAAAAAGTATCTAAAGTTACACATCCAATAATTTTCACTCTACAGTTAACATTTTGTATATAAATATCAGTAAGGCATAAATAAAATGTATATAGAATGAAGTTGAAATAAAAAAAACAAACTATGACAAACATATCTCCACATATAAATAATTTCTAAACTCTTAACGCATTGCTACTGGAAATGACATATATGTACATGTAATGTCCACTGTGAATTTAGTTTGCTAATTGTATTTACACATACATAGTTCCGTAAGTGCTTAGTCATGAAGGAATTAATTACTAGTCCTACCTATTACATTTGTTTTTCCTTTTCCTTTGTTGTTTTTTTTAAATATCTTTTATTTCATACTACTATTCACATCAAAACGCAAATAATAGTAATAACGACAGTATTGATATAAAGAGCATTAGAAAAAAAATAAATAAATAAAGGAAATGGGAAAACAGGCAATACCACTCCAACTCCTTGGTGGCCGTGCATTTGTGGAGCAATCTATGCAAAAACAAAATTCACAAAACAAAACTCCAGTGGACATTATGTGTTCCTGGCAGCAATGGGTTAATGATAAGGACAATATGACAAACTATTTTTATACCACAGCTCTATTCATTGTAAACTTTCCCATTCACTCAAATAAAATAACATTTCTTAAAAGAAAATCAAGGAAAAAATGCCGAAAATTATCAAATCTTAGTCTTTTTTCATAAGTATTTATAAGATCAGCTTATGAAATACTCTAATCACTTGCTGAGGCACGCACTAAATGTCACATTACAAATTATTTTACATATGCATATTTTTAGGGAGTAAAGTCCTTAGTTGTTTAAGCTATTTCTCAAATACCAAATACCTTAATAACTCTGACTAGTTCAGGTTTAGCACATAATACTGAAAGATATCTATATAATCAAATCACTATTTCCTCAGTATAAAACCAATTCTATGTTTGTTTGTTTTATGCAAAATGACCATACCTTATTTAGTATTAACCTTTTCTATCTAATGAAGGTTGAAAATATCAACAACCTATAAACCGATTACAATAAACTACAAAGCAAATTATTTACAGTTGGTGTATACTAAAGGTAGAGAAATATATAACAGAGTTATATATGTACATCATCTATGTACAGTATGTGGTTATCTTTCATTGTCTCCAGATTGTATTGTACACCTGAATATCACCTATTTGCAGGCTCTCTCTTTGAGACAACCTAACTCCAAGTATAAGCATAAATCTTCTGCCATTCAGGAATGTACTCAAGCAAAGGCTGGCAAACTGTTCTAGCCAAAGGGACTCTATTGCCTACTGTGGTCAAGAAGTATTTTATACGCCTGTGAGTCACCGTGTGGAATGCCGGAGACCGGACAAGGTAGTATAGCAAGCTGATTCTCCTTCGAGCCAGTTCACTGCGTTCTGCTGCTGACAGCATGGATTCATTGTAGAGATTCAAGCTACAGTATTAAAAGAGAGGAAAAATTAATTCATTTTTTTCAATGTACTTTTCACTTTAAGTACTCATATGTGTATGTATATATGTATATATATGTGTGTGTGTGTGTGTGTGTGTGTGTGTGTGTGTGTGTGTGTGTGTGTGTGTGTGTGTGTGTGTGTGTGTGTGTTGTGTGTGTGTGTGTGTGTGTGTGTGTGTGTGTGTATATATATATTCATATATATATATATATATATATATATATATATATATATATATATATATATATATATATATATATATATATATATATATATATATATAAATACATAAATACATAAATACATAAATACATAAATACATAAATACATAAATACATAAATACATAAATACATAAATACATAAATACATAAATACATAAATACATAAATACATAAATACATAAATATATAAATATATAAATATATAAATATATAAATATATAAATATATAAATATATAAATATATAAATATATAAATATATAAATATATAAATATATAAATATATAAATACATAAATACATAAATACATAAATACATAAATATAAATATATAAACATATAAACATATAAATATATATAAATATATATAAATATATATAAACATATATAAACATATATAAATTATATATATTATATATATTATATATATTATATAATATATATATATATACTATATATATATATATATATAAATATATAATATATATAATATATATATAATATATAAATATATAAACATATAAACATATAAATATATAAAATATATATATATAATTATATATATATATATGATATATATATATATAAATATATAAATATATAATATATAAATATATAATATATAATATATAAATATATAATATATATAAATATATAAATTATATAAATATATATATATATATATATATATAATTATATATATATATATATATATATATAATTATATATATATATTACATATATTACATATATTACATATATATATATATACATATATATACATATATATATATATATATTACATATATTACATATATATATATATTACATATATATATATATTACATATATTACATATATTACATATATTACATATATATATATATATGATATATATATATTACATATATTACATATATTACATATATTACATATATTACATATATTACATATATTACATATATTACATATATTACATATATTACATATATTACATATATTACATATATTACATATATATATATATATATATATATATATATATATATATATATATATATATATATATATATATATATATATATATATATATATATATACATATATATATATATACATATATATATATATATACATATACATATACATATACATATACATATACATATACATATACATATACATATACATATACATATACATATATATATATATATATATATATATATATATATATATATATATATATATATATATAAATTATCAGTTTCTTATTTCCATGTAATATAAAAAATGAACAAATACATGTAAGAGGAGTCACAAGTTAAACTTTACTAACCTTGTAATGTCCATACCCAGAGCCAAAACCCAGGGTGCCCAAGACTGCTTTCCAAAGAGATACATGCTCGTCAAATGCCCGATAGGTCGTAAAATGTGCAATGCCTGAAAAGATGAGAAAACACAATTAACAAATTATGGCGGAGACTATTACTTGAAATACAGAATAAAAAATGTGTAAAAAATGTGTCAAATGTAACAGATACAGGATCATTTATATATATATATATATATATATATATATATATATATATATATATATATATATATATATATATATATATATATATATAGTAAGTCCCCAACTTAAGAACATAATGGGGACCGAGAGGCTGTTTGTAAGTTGATTAGTTTGTATGTCGAAAGTCGGGTCTCCATTACCTTTTTTCCCATTGTTTTAAAGTTTTGTTTACATTAAGAATACCTGTAAATAAATCCCAATAAGTACGACATACCTTATACAGTAGTGGACTCTTGCACTATATTCGCATCCGGGAAATTTGAAGTTTGCTAGAATCTTTCAAACAATTTTTTGGACTTTAGTACTTAAAAAATTTTGTTTGTATGTATGGAATGTTCATAAGTAGAATGTTCTTAAGTAGGGGACTATCTGTATATATTAATTTCAAATGTGAATAAATGAAGCCCTTGGTGTTGCCTGTTTGCTTTGCTTGAAAGACAAGCAGTTGGAGATATAATAAGAGTGTGAGCAGTGAAGTTCCCAAAAAGAACACTTTCAGCATCAGTTGTCTGCCACTCTGATGTTTCTCAATTATGATCACCTTGAACAACCAAAATGCTCATAGGAAGGGACAATATCAGGATAGGGTGATGTTCCCCAAATCCATTATTCTCTTGGGTCAGTTAAATTGAAGCTTTGTTGTCCTGCAAGGAAAACAGTAGAATTATAATTCTGCTTACCTCTGCTGTTAGTTGCTTTGGAGATAACATCTTTTGAGCAACTGTTTCATTTTCATTGTTATTTGGAGGCTGTGGTGGGTTAAATGTGCGCTGATGAGTTGGTGGGGCTCCAGCTAGAGTTCTCATGATGCGACCAGAATGGGGAAGGCGGAACGATTCTGAAAGCAGAATGGGAAACAATGAGGTTAGCTAATTATCTACTTTACTCTTCATTTCTGCTGAAATTGCAATACTGAATCTGAAACAAAATACTTCAAAGAAAATAGTGCAATATGTTACCAGGAGTTGAGCCTTGATTGCTGTACATCTGCTGTCTGGTTTGGATCACAGCTCTGCGGTCTAGTGGCTTGATTGGTGGGGATGACACGAGTGATGTCTTGTATTTCAGAACCAGAAGGAAACGGCCAATGCATCTGTAATATTGTCACCATATGTAGTAAATGGTTTTAAGAAGACAGAACTGAATACAAATTATGTCAAATACATCATACACATGAATAAAATAAAGGTGAAAGACATGTAAAAATTTTAATGGCATATTAATCTAGGCAATACTCAAAGAAATTGCTTACTTTGTTAGTTGAATGATAGCAACTACTGCCCAACGGCCCATTTCCCCCCATAACTGAACAGCTGCAACTTCCACTAGCACCTCCACATATTCCAAAATAGTTAGGAACACCTATAAAGTAACAGACCATTGTTATTATAAATATTTATGTAAAATACTGCAATTCCTGCATAATGTCAACAGTATTATACAACACATGAAGTCAGGCATAACGAAGAGTTAATCTGATTATTCAGATATAATCCAACAATGTCAGTAGTGATAACAAAACTAAAGGGAACCATGAAATTTCTAAATTACAAAACAACAACAAAAATAATTATATAGACAATGAAGGAAAGTCATATTCATAGCCAAATCTTACACAGGAAAGACAAACTTAATAAGACAATATTTTACAGACTAATTCATGTTATTTCTAACTGTTTCTGGTCCATTATGATGATGAATAACTGGGACCTCTTATATCTGGAGGAGTGATGGTAAAAGTGCTGAATATTTTCAAAATCTAGAAGGCCTAAAATAAGTTTCCTCATGACCTTGTACAAAAAAATCAACACATCTCATGTACCTTTAATTTGTCTCCTTGTTTTGAGGTGAGCTTAGGTAAAGTTCCCCTGACCAAGAAGTCATTGAACATCTCAAAAAGTCTTGATCCTGAATAAACTATCTCACAAAGGAGTGTTGAGTTCTTGAAACGACCTGCAAAGTAAATTGAACCAAAAGTGATGTAGTCACCATCCTATCAACAAATATTCTAACAAAGATGGCTCTCACCCTTCTGAAATTATGTAGCAGAAAATTCTTAAATACTTATATTAAATCAGTAACTTACTGTTGCTTATCTAATTACCCATGAGTTTTGAACTACTGAGCAATATACTGACATTAGGCCTATGCATTATTACTCAAAACATAATTAACAAATCACAAACACAATAATGTGTGCAAACAGATAAAATAAAACATGGCCACAATAGGAACTGAATAAATTTGATTATCTTTTTACTGACTGCTTTGTACTACACATAAAACAATAACAACTGATATAATCCAACAATGTCAGTAGTGATAACAAAACTAAAGGGAACCATGAAATTTCTAAATTACAAAACAACTACAAAAATAATTACATAGACAATGAAGGAAAGTCATATTCCTATTATGATGAACATACTGTATATATGTGACATCTTGATTCACTTATATTCAGTTGTCCAGATGGTAATCATTTGTACACAAATTACAACCGTCAAAATCAACAACAGGGGAGCTCTAGTCATTCAGTTTGAAAAGTGATGCAGTGTTGCAATCATACTACATGAAAACAAAATAAACTTACAGGAGGTTAAATTTTCATGCATTTGCTTGAGTACTTAATTCATTTAGCTAAGTAATTACCTGAAATATACATCACCTATGAAAACAAGAGTTCTTTCAAATTTCATATTTCATGCCCAAAAGTAAAAGCTAGAATCTTGCACAGCCCTTGAATATATTTTTGCATGGATTTCTGTAATACATGTTGACTACTGGGCACTGTACTTTCTAGATGGTATTGCCTATATGTATGTATGTATGTTTTTTCAGTGTCAAATTTTAACATCAAACAGAATCTTTTTCAGCTCCATTGCTCATAACAGTTTTCAATAAAATACTATTCAACTAAAAAACAATATCACATTTTTCTTAAATCTCTAAATTAGCCTCTATGGTAGTTAGTGGTCTTAAGGCCATAGTAAAACAATAACCCATGTACATACATATCATCAGAAGACAATAAGAATGTAAATGTGTTCTTTCCTTACTTGCTAAAATCACTAAATCATATGGAGGTAAACCATTTGGGTAAATAAATATTTAAATAAAACCAAATGTGCAATGAAAACAACAAGAGTCAATACTGAGTAAACATTTAAGTAAGCAGGCAGTTGAAGCTGAATTTGTAGGATTCCAGATGGAAAATAGTGATAAAATCAGGCTCTGCAAATCCCCTTCCTAGTCAGATTATCAGAGTATGGAACATTATGTAATTCAAATAACTACTGGTTAAAACCATTTTAATTAGAAGTATGAGACACATAGATGGCTATACTTGTATGAAGTCGCCAATGAGCCAATTACGAGTACTGCCTGTCTAGCCCATTTACCCTTTTCTATAATTTACGAAACTATTTAACGTTATCTTGATTTGCTATTACTAATGTTTATAACATTATTGTAATTACAATGTTTGTAATAAATATAACACCATTGATATTCATAGCACTAGTAAAAAATACAAATTCCTGCCAATTCGAGGAAAGGTGAAATCAGGTAAGGCTAAGCACTAGTAGAGCCATCATGGATAGAGAAAATTCCCCCCAAAATATAAAAAAAATGAGCACAGCATTTTCTCAATTTTTTATTCATTTTTCCCGGCGGCAATGGGTTAAGTAGTGTGTTAGAAATTGCCA